TCCACTACCCAGCAGTACAAATAGCCCAATGCGACAACGTATGGTTACATTCTGCACTTGCTTTGCACTCTGTTTTCCTTTATAGATATGATCTATTAGATGCAGGGGAGTGGAGAGACCAAGCACATAAAACTGAGGCTGCAGTGGGCAACTTTGCATGCACTCTCACAGGGCTCCAGCTGCAGAAAGCAAATTTCACACAAAGATGAAAGCCTTTCTAGAGATAGGGCACTCTCCAGATTGTATTTAACTCAGAAGCAAAGCTTGCCCTGAAGGACAGTAACAAACTGATTAAAAATAATTAAAAAGAAGCCCCATTAAGGATGGTTTAAAGAAAATGTGTTCCGATTAGAAAAAGATAAAGGGAAGACAACAAATTCCTACAAACAGTTAAACGGGATGCGACAAGCTGCACAAGGACTAATTTTCCTCCTTAGTCAACAAGACAATAAGAAATAACAGACTGCAGCAGAGACTGATTACAAAATACCAAATGTCTCAGTTTGGATTTTCTTCTGCTGCTGGAAGTTTCCAAGACTGAGGGGTCTTCAGAAATGGCCCTTGGTGTCTGCACAAGGGAGCAAGCTGCTAATGCTCATTGTACATTAAGAAGAGATTTGAGAATAATAAGCTCAATCTTTCCATAACGCATAGGAAAAATTATGATGTGACATACCACAAGAGGTGCCTGTCTGCCCAAATGATTCTATGAAGTGACTGCAAAGCCACTTAGCAGTTACACTGCCTTGTAAGACTAAGGCAGAATAGGAGATGTGCTCCTATAAACACTTTGTGCTCCCTTCAACAAAGATCAATTCTTCAACAAACAAGTTTGTTTTGCACAGATTTTCATCCTGTCCAGCACAGTTATTTCATATTAAAAATTTGGCTCCTTGTAAGTAATTATCTTACCTGCCACTATAGCAGTGTCAAACTGTTTTCTCTAACATTTTTCTTCCACATTTCAATAGAAGCCAATCTACTCACAAGTCTTATCTGCTGAGTGAGAGAGGAGACTGGAAAGTGTATTGATCTTTTTGATGTCAAGTCCTTCTAGGGAATAAAAGTTTATTGCTTTTCTGTCTCTGATTATCTTTTTGTGAGGATGTGGATCACAGGCTGGGAAATAGTACTCCATGTGAAAGGCTTCATTATGGAGGTGAAAAGCTGGAGAAGGGGAAGCATGAAGAGGGAAGCAGGAAACTGAAGGCAAAATTTGAAGAGTTACTATGTGGATTAGAAGTTCAGGGCTTATGGAAGGTCATACAGTTTTCTAACTTTTAAACATGCAGGTTTAACCTTGCAAACTGTGGCACAAGACAGACATAGGCTTCATGAAATTACTAGTATATTTTTCAGGGCAACATGCTGAAACTTGCTAAGCTCCCTCCATTCCCACTGAGAGGTACACTTAAAAGCTATATTTTTTTATTATTTTTTTTTCAGAAAATAAGACGATATAATTGAAAAGCACTTACAGAAAAGTTCAAACCAAGAGAATTGTTCCATTGTTTAAAAAACTCCAGCCAAGTAATTTAGCCCAGAGCTTTATCTGTTCTGATGAGTTTAAGGTCAGGTTCTCTTTTTCAGATTTAAGGAGGGAGCAAAGAAAACTCCTGACATCCACATGTATGTTCTTGGAAGACTATCTCAACAGACACCAACGCCCTAATTATGCGTCTTTAAGGTCCTCATGTTGTACACATGACTGCATGTGGGAAGTTTCAACAACATGATCAAGATTTTACAAAACAGAAAGTGAAATCCTGACCTTCTGCAATTAATTAGAATTTTGCCATTCACCCCAGCAGGACCCCAGATACAAACCTTGGTATCTACCCTGAATTGCAGAGGAGCTAAGAACCTAACAGTCTGCTTGAACTTTGAATGTTCAGAGCTTTTAATATTAACCCATTAGCTTACATCATGAAGTTTAAGGAATGACTTCTGAAAATCATCACCTAAAATTTTCAGCTATAAAATTATCTGATTTGCAGGCATTTTCTTATATCAGTCTTTAATCTGTACTACTTTCCTTTCTGTATTAAATGGACAACCAACTCTCTATCACAGGATGTAGGTGGTGAGGGGATCTTTAAGTCTGGATCTCTAGTTTAATTAAATGCACAGATTTATTTCCTAATAAAGGAGATTTTAATTTCCACAAGCCCACTGTGGATCCAGGTGATCTTTCAAAGTGTTATCTACTTGAGAAGAGAATAACCTCCTATCTCTATGCTTTTCTGGAGATGCATCCCTCAGTGGGTGGTCTGTGACAAGTTTACTCTTCCTTAGCTGAAAAGGCAAAGGCTAAGGAGTAGATTAATAGGAGAGTCAGACTTCATTAAAGAAACAGTGGCTCACACTAAGTTTAAAATTAGTATTTACATCCTACTCCACTTAGTAAAATTCTTCTTTTGCTCTCAGAAGTTGAAAGATTGCACCTTGTCTATTCTTTACTATCCAAAAGTATTCCTCCTTTTGATTTGGCTAGAGTAAGCTAGAATGCCCTTTTCACGGACTGTAAAGCTTATGGTATAAACCACAATAGATATGGTTTGAAACACCCACATATGAAATTACAGTGTGAATGTTTGGAGACTGTTTGTACACACAAATATTAAAGCTACAGTGCTTCTCGTGGGTGTGCCCTGGAGTAACTGCCCAATCGACATCTTGCCCCAGAGTAGCACAGACCTCTCTGCAGAAGGAAATATGCATCACATCTCAGGTACCTTCTTTACTGTATGGCAAACACTGATCAGAGCTGACTTCGATCCACTCTGTCAATATAACACAGTCTTATGGGACAAGAGTACTCTTCAGATTGTTTACAGCAGCTTAACCAATGATAACGTCTGCTGTTTACAGCAGCTTAACTAATGAAAATTTGAGACGTTTGTCATCTCAGGTGTTCAGATATTGACTCAAACATTGTATGTCATGGCCGTTAAACATAAATGATACATTGCTGCCTTTGCAAACTAAATTTCCTCTTCCTCAATTTCTGACATTTTATCTTAAACGTTAACTTTTATCTTTTGTAGGCTTGTCTAGGAATAACTGGGAACTGACAATAACAAATATATCTTTGTTTCCAAAGCAAGTGTTCTATTGAAGCCATAAACTAGAAGACTAACTGTACACATGCCGCTGAAAATAATGACCACCATCTGTATTAATTTCAGGTCTCAGTTCACCATACTGGCTCTAAAGAAAAAAAAAAAAAGCAACTCAGGAAAACAGTGAAAAAAGCTGGCTGAACACCAAACAAAAGCCAACAGCCAAAATCCAGGTTGCTGTAGGGATGCCATAAAAAAATCAGATCACCTGCAGTAGTCATTGTAGAAAATCATGTAGCAGAGAATATATGCTTTTGGCTTCTGGTGTTAGATAACTGAATTCTGAATTATTCACATCCAGAAATTCAAATGACTCATGGACCCAAAACTGTGGGCATTAGCAGTGTCTTTTGTAACACGTGCCTTTGAAGAAAATAACTCGTTAATAGGTTTCACAATACTAAATGGTATTCACTGTCAAAACCATTTTCATGTTTATTTCTATATAGCTTTTACTCTCTCCTGTTTCCCCTGAATTACCTATAAATCCTGTCAATCACACGAAGAATGGAGGCATGTGAGCCAAATATGATAAAAAGACAGGTATAGTATATATAGCTGTAGCTGAGCCATGGAGTATTTTTGCCCAGTTCCTCTTCTGACTTAACTTGTGTTCCTCTTCATTATTTTGTTAATCTATATCCTCTTTTCAAGTAAAGGCAATTTCTGTGCTGTGAGACACAGGCTCCCCTCGTGGTTTGATCTCTGCCCTTTATCTCAGGCATTAGAAAGAAGCTAGAGTCAAAATTCAAATGTAAATTTAGAGGATAAAGATACAACTGCTAGCTGTTTTGCATAGAGACAATCTTTTGCAGATAAGCTAAATCTTCAAAGGGAAATCTCCTAAACTAACTCACTCATGGATAGAAGGCAGCTTCAGGCTCATGTTTAAGAGCGAAGCTGATGTTGATTAACAGTGTAAACTGCCTTAGTCCAGATTATCCTTCTCTGTGCTTTCTCTCTTCTTGAGTTAAACTCCATTATGCATTGCAGCACATTCTACCATCTTTGAGAACCAGGTGTCATAATATGCTAGTCTTCAAAGTTAGTCAGAGTCTGGGTTAAGCTTATACAGAGAGCACCGAGATTTGTGTGAATTAAATTCCTAGACCATAATATATTGCTGAAAAAGTTGAAGGCAAAAGCTGAATCCAGAAACATGTTTATATCTGGTTTACAGGTGAAGGCTAAATCTGATTTTAACTCTTATATTCCAATTGTATTGCCACTGAATCTCCCATAAAACTAGGAATTACAGGGTAGAGACTAAAGCTATTGAGACTTCCAGAATTAAGGGAAAGGACAAGATGAGACTGCATTTAGATTAAATGTATTATCATGCTTTGTCTAAACATATAACCATGATTGATACCAATATCAGAGTTAGGAGAATTTATGATAAAAGTCATAATTGGGAGTAGTGCTGGCATGAAAAGGGATTTGTGAGGCCTTTCTTATAAAACCTATGAGCTGATCAGCGTAGTGCCTTTGTAACATTAACGCCATGGGTAGAGCATGCAGTTATCTGTCACAAATACTTCTATATCAGTAATCTGGAGATGTATGATACATATCACTCCTGCAGAGAGGGTCTTTATGTGACATTCTGTTCAAAAAAGGTGGATTGCAAATCTTCTAACCCAAAAGCCACATGCCATCTCTCAACATTAAAATATCAATGGGAAGTCAATATTTACATTTGATTTAACTGCGCTAGTTAAACCCTCCCATTTTACCCACTAATGTGCTGAGTTAAAGCTTCATGCTAGCAACCATGCCTTCACTATATAGAACAAGCAAGAAAGCTAAAGCCTTGAACCTTCAACACAGCCATAGCACACGAGCAGGCCTTTCAGCTTATCATTTTCGGATACGTACCCAGTAGAGCACATCTGTCCAGCCCTCCATTGTGATGCACTGGAACACCGTCAGCATGGCAAAAGCAAAGTTGTCGAAGTTTGTGATGCCGTGCTTGGGTCCCTCCCAGCCTGCCTTGCACTCGGTGCCGTTCTGACACTGCCGCCCGTGTGCGGACTGCGGGGCACAGGGGGAGGGGTCATCCTCGGCAGGCGTATCTTAAAGGAGAGGAAGGGGAAAGAGCAGATGAAGAGCACTAATTGCAGTTTGACATGCTGAAGGATATCTAACTTCAGCAAGCACATTTTGCAGGGAATTTGACAGATTTCTCTAGGAATACACAAGAAATTATATTAGTTTTAATGGACAGAGGGATGTTCTGTTGTGCTTCACTTTCATTTTGTAAAAATAACGGCCAAGTTCTCAAATGCTACATCCAAAACTGTAATAGCTTTCAAGATGAAAGGGACATTAGATCAAGTCTATTAAACCTCTTTAGGCTGCATGTTACGACCAGTGTTTCCATACTGCAGTCACTGGCATCTGGGTTAATCTTGCAAGGGAACTGCAGGACTGACTAGCACTCCACTGAAGGAGGCAGAACCCCTGCAGCAGACAGGCTGCAGTGCTCTGGAGATAGGTTGATATGGGGCTGGGCCACTGCTAAATTACAGCAGAGAGTCTCTGGAGTCTCTAGAGTTTAAAAGCTGCGTGCCATTCTATAAATAGTCCAGTGACACACAAGCTCTGCAAGACTACTGCTTGATTATCCGCCCTTTGTGCTGTACAGGTGTTTCAGAAGATCCAAGAACTCATACAACAAGCCTGCCTAAATGGTTTGGTATGTTAAAAAAGCTTTGGAAATCATTTTTTTATAAGCACAAAACGTCCTGCAATAGGGTTTTTTCTTTATATACAGATTTCAGAGCTTAGTGCTACATTTGAAACAGATGCAGGTATGTACGCGGTAGGGAGCAGGTAATTATGTTTGTTTCTCATCTTATGTGGCAAAAAAATGTAATTTCCCAAAAGTTATGATCACATTCTGATCATTAAAGCATGTCAGAAAGAGCAGCATTAGAATTAGATGCTGTGATGTAAATAATTCCACATAGTATGGAGAAAGATACGTACACTTTAAAGACGTAAACCAGACAGGCAATTCAATATACTCCCAGATTCATTTCCAGCAAACAAAATCTACTGATGTTATAAAAGCAGAAAACATAGAATTTCTGAAACAATTTCCTGCTCTACAACATTTTCTTGGTTATGAGCTCAACTGGGTCCTAGACACCGGCACCCAGAACCACTTGTGAAATCACTGCTGTTCCAGTTCAATACATCAAATGAAAAAAGAGCAAATGGTTAGATGAATGAGTGACAATACAATGGAATTATTTTGAAATTTGAATATTTATTTCTGTAAATAATTTGAAAGTTTTTTCTTGATGAGTTTGGTGCAAAAATTTCTTCCCATTAATATAATTCTTCTTTCTTACTAGCTGTACTTCTAACCATGGTCACAACCTGTGACTGAAAAATAGGGTACTAGGCCTCAATTAGATACTTCTTTACAATGACAGTGGTTTAAAATGAAGATGTGTTTGTGTGCAAGTTTGATAATAAAATAACACAAATAGAAAAATATAATAAATATTAAAAAATATGAGTTGTTCATTTCCGTGATGCCTTTTCATTTGAGGCTCAATCTGCAAGTGGTGAAATGACTCCTTTAGTGTTGTTTAAGCCTCTGGGAGATTTGTTGAAGAACTCAGGCTGGCTGGTAGTGCATAAGTTTCACATTAAAAAGTGTTCAGCAAGAATTGACAGTTTTGCATGTACCCTTTACAGACAGGCCAACAACTGAGTGCCCAAATGAGCAAGTTAAACTCTCACCATTAGAGACAGTCTCTCTACATCCAAGGTGACTCACAACCAAGAAGCAGAACAGAGGAACTACCATTGTGAAACTCAAAACAGGTACACAGCAGGGAGCAACAGTCACCTGTGTTCTGTGCCAGCACAAATGCTTCTTCATATACAGAGAAACTCTCCCTCAGGAAAACTCTGTGTGTCCAATACAGTATTCCCCTTACCTATGAGACCCCCTTGCACATGATAGCAGGTCTTATGCATCTTCCCCATGAATAACTCCAGTCCAATGATGGCATAAATAATAATGACAAACAGCACCAGCAGGGCAATATGCAACAAAGGGACCATGGCCTTGATAATTGAATTTAAAACCACCTGGAGACCTGCAGAGAGAACAGAAGGAAGCACTTATGAGCAAGAGAACAAAATTTAGAGAGGCTATAAATTGTATGATAATATGTTGCTTTTGTTTCATTCCCCCTCAGCTGGACTCATTGTCTTGATCATGAAAGATGTACATTTACAGATCACCTCCCTCCAGAAGATCCCTAACATTTCCCAAATTTACTATTACAGCCTAGATCACAGGCGAAAGTGTTACCTTACCTGTCATCAAAATACCGTCACCCTGGGAAGTGAATATGTTAGCTATTTTGCCTGTTCTTGAAAACCAGACCTACAGTGTTCCCCACACAGTATTGAGGAGAGTTAAGTATGGGAAAACCAAAGAACAACCAGAAGTGAAGCAGGACAAAAAGATGAAAGATGCAAGAGGGCAAATGCCAGGGTACCACAGAGCTACACCCCAGAGCATGGGGAAAGATGGCTAACTGAAGTCATATCCCTACTCTGATTCTGGGTTCTTACAGAGGTCAAGCCAGCTTCAGGCAGTGCCTGAGCTGCTGAAGGACCACCAGAGCTCTCAGCTCTTTTAGGATCACCCTGTACTCCAGATCTACCTCACCTTGCTTCAATGTGAACACAGGGAGAGTCAGAACCAGCAGTGCTGGGTTTGCTCCAAGATTTAGGGACCACTCTATAACAGAGGTTGTCCATGTCCCTAGAAAGGGGTATGAACAAAATACTATTACATGGCTGTTGTTAAGCAATGAGATGGCTATGAGTCCTAACCATGAACGAGTCAAACATTTTCAGAATGGACCGGGGAAGGTGACTTGTTTGCTAAAGTGCTCAGCAGCGTTACCCTCACATGCACTTGACTCAAGCTGGAGATTCACAGGCCTCTCTCTGTCTCCTTCTCCTGACTTGTAAAACCAGAATAACAAAGCCAGCCTCACAAGCCTTTAGTAAGGTTTTGAAATTTTTATCACTAGTGGTAGTGATGGCAACCACTGTCACTGGTAAGTTACGAAAGTTGAAAGTACTGAGAGACCTCTAGAACTCTATAGTCTACAAATAGCCAGACCAGAACAATTAGGAACTCATGATTTTGCAATGACTGAGAGACAGAAGCCATTAATGTCTCCCGCAAATGCTGTCATCTCCGCAGCAGAGTTGGTATTAGCTGTGATTTTTGAAAAATGTGGTTCATGAGTTGTAAATGTCCGTTATACATCTGCCAAGAGAGTTTGTGATAACTATTAACTTTTAAAATCTATCATCTAAGATATTAGATTCTCGTTTTTCTTACTTTTTTTTTTTTAAGCTGATTTAAATACTTTCTAATAAGGATGATACATCTCTCGACAAGCACTTTAACTCCACTTGTCAGTAGGCAACCCACTTGCCAATTCACACCTAAGGCTGAGGCTCAGTCTTTTCTCTGCAGTAGAAACAACCAAAGTTGGCATCAACTGCCAGGCCAGCATGATCATTCACTGCCTGCTAGTAACCCAAAGCTGGCTATTAGCATCCTTCTAGTCAGAACACATTTTCAGGTGTCTGCAGTCAGTTTGGTTATCTGTTAATGGTCCATGCTACTGTCCAAAGGGAGTGTTATTCAGCACAAAACATTTTGTCTTTCACAAATTCATCCCATATAAGAACAGGTCGTTCTGCTTGCTCAGTTACCTGTAGTTACTTACTCTGCATAAGCAGTGGTCTCTGGGGAAAAAATGTTGCAATGGGATTTTTGAATTTAATCAATTAAATTGATTAAATCAATTGATTATTTAAATAATCAGTTTTTTAATGGGATCAAAATACTGTGATTCAGTACACTATTTTTAAATATATAAAGAAAATTAATTGCAGTCCACATCAATGTCAGTCTAATACTTTACAGCAGTCAAGAATGTAACACTCACCAGAAAATTAAAACAATGTACCACCTTCTCCCAAGGTACAATACAAGAAAATTAAAAGCTTACAGATGGCTATGAACCTCAAAAAAACCCACAAACTTTGCAGACTGAAATATCTGTAGCTTCAAATAAATCTACACTAAAACAAATAAAGGCCTTCGGTTTCAGTGATTTTAGGAGTCTTGTTAATCCAAAATGTAGCCAAGATTGCAAGGTTAAGAGTTCTAATACAAGGTCTTATATAATTCAACCTTAATTATTACTATTAATTGATTTAACACTTAGAATATTCTCAGTGCTCCTGAGAGGGTAATGAGTACAGACACAATGATGAACAATAAGCTCTCTCATTTCAAATGTAGCTTCATTATCACCCATGCCCTGAAAGTGCTTCAGTGTACTCCAGCTGCCCAGAGAAGATAATATCTGCACAAACCAATGCCCTCTGTGTTAACAAAGCAGTGCTTGGGAAATCAAAGTCTTACATGATAAACATGAGATGACAAGGTGTTTAAGACAGCCAAGGGGAACATGTACCACCAGAAGATTTATAGGAACTTCAACTAACTTAATTAGAGAAAAGCTTCTTGAGGATAATAAACCACCTTTGAAGAAGGGATGAGCTACTGAATACTGTTAGCATGAACTGATGTCTGCACTGTGCAGTACCCTGTTAAGGCAGTCTGTTTTTAAATCCAGATGATTACACTCATTCTCAAGCTTACATACATTACCATTAAAGTACTCAGAGAGTTGTTAAAAGTTAAAAATGATAGTTATGCAGCAACTTTAGAAATGTCTTCTCAGGAGATGTAACGAATCCTGATTGTAGAATGACAAGGGATATACGCACATCACCATGCTCCCTACGTTGTTGTCAAGCTTATTGCTGCAATATAGCTGCTGTCAGTAAGTTAGTTTATTTTCAGTTCAGGCAGCCACTTGCAACATGAATAGCTATTGCAAGGAATGGCATGAGGCACCAGACCTGAACAATCAGAAAAATCTGTGTAGTGGGGAAGAACAGGGAGGGCAGATAAAGAAAGATTAAAAGACTAAAGGAGAACCATGGACAGGTGGAACAAAAAGAGACGCTTTTTAAATAAAAAAAAAGCCCCATGTGCTTGAAAACATATCAAATCTGTGTTCTGAAATCTGAGAGGTGCAGGTCAGTGTCTGTGGATGATCAGATAAATTTCTGATCAGGGTAAATCAAGGTGAATCATCCAGGCATCATATCCACTCTGTCACAAAGCTTTTTCTAAGCAATGGTGAGAACAACTACAACTCTTACACACTCTTAAAGAAAAGACAGTTGAACTTAAAATAAAATTACTTCTCTGTCCTAATTCATGCGTGCTTTTAATCTTTGCCCTCTGCGACACACTAGCTATCACCCAACATGGGTGCTCACAACACAGGGGCAATGCAATCCCACTTGCTTGATACTCTCTGTGACACTTACTGCACATCTTTGGCATTTTCTCCCTTGTGGAGGTAAGGCTTGCATTCCTAGCAATAAGCCGTGCAGCTTATAATCATAATTAAATCAGGATGCTTGGTGACCTGATCAGACTGCAAAGCTGGCCTCTGGATTTCAAGTAGGTGATGCCAATATCTGACTCCCCATAGCAGAGTGAAGAGCCGTGCTTTTATACTGCTTTACAGAGGCTGGCAATGCCATCGTTGGCCAACCATACACCTAAGAGTCTTGAACTTGTGTCCTGGCAAGTGAATACAAAAATAAATGATTTTCAAATATTTGGCATTCTAAATGTGCTTATTCATTTGTGGAAGCTCTCTCCGTGTGCTAGACACTCTCCAGACATCTGTGACGGCACAGCATCTGCCTTGAGGAGCTCACTCCAGGCTGGACAGAGATAACTGCACAGAGGTTAGGGAAAGTGCCACAAAAAGGACTGTTTGCAGTTTTTCAGCCCACGCTTTTCTCCTGTTAATAATTGAAGATCTTAAACAGCTTTTAGTATTTATTGTAAAAGCACTTCAGTTTAACTTTAAAAAAAAAACCCTCTTGGCTGCACTCTGTTGGCTGAGACTTACTCCATAAATGTTTCAGTAAGCAAAACACATTAATGACATTCCCTGGGCTCACAGCATTTAGCATTTATTTACACTGATAGAACATTTTAAATATTTATTACATGGGAACAACAGTGCTTTTTATACCAGGTCAAGCCCTTTTCAGCCTCTAGAGGACTGCACCTACCCAAAGGTTTAGGGCACAGATAGGGAGTAGAGGGGATAGCGAAGAAATAAGGAAAAATCTCATACAAAACAACATTGATCTTTCTTAAAGCTTTGGGAAATACACTGTTAGGGATGCTGCAGGTGTCTTAGAGCTATTATATGACACTGTACTTTTCTCTCACGAAGGCAATCATGCTGGTTGCTGTCTCATCAATTCAGGCAGTTACTGAAGAACGTGCTTAGCTCTAAGTGTGTAAGTGTCTGCACCTAAAGCAATGGGATTACCTACATATCCCATTGTGTACTTACAAGCTTTTTTTGGATTTCAACCAATGCTCAACAAGATGGCACACAAAAGAATGTGCACCAGACCCAGCTGCAAAAATGCACTTGGCATTGTTGCACTGTGGAACATATCCAAAGAAACTAATGGTAGATTGGTCTCAGAAAAAACATTTGGACTTTTCCAAGCACATTTTATCATGTCTTCAATTTTGGATCAAATTTGGTTTGCTGGACAGGATGATTTCCTGTTCTCATCATATTAGTAGTCCAGATCTTCAGAGAAAGCATATGCCAAGTCTACCCCTTCATTTGTTTTGCAGTGCTGTATTTTACCATGGTGTAGCCTGAACCAAGATTATGAGCAGGCAGTGTCTTACACTTCTGGGAATAAGCATTAATGAAAAGGGAAAGAAGAGGGCTTTTAACTCCATCCATCTCTTCTCTGCCTCCTGGTACATACACAAACACATACAGATTTCCATACTCAAGCCGGTGCCAGGGGTGTGGGAGGTAATTATTTTTCTGCTAATACACTTCAGAAGAAACCCACCACTTTCAGCAAGAAAGGAGGAAGCAGGGGAGGATTTGTGACTCAGCATAGTGCCTGAGTCAGTTCACTTCTGGGAACCACTCTTAAGTGGTAGATTTTAGGCATCATCCCCAGCCATGAGTTAGGCCTGCCCACAAATCACAGTTATTTCTGATGATGCATTAAAAGACTGCCACTACAGTTATCTCTATTTCCAAAGCACAAGTAATATGAACAGTAATTTCCCCAAAGCGGACATTTATCACTTAATAAGCATAGGCATTGGCTAGGAAAATGGAAAAATATTAAATATTCATAAATACAAATATGAATTTTGAAGGAAGCCTGGAAAATGACAGACATTTCTATCACAAAACAGTCCACAGTCATGGCAAGATATCTGAGATAAGCTCATCTGCAATGACTGGTGATGGAAAACCTTGAGGACTTTCCTCACTAGTATTGCAAAGGGAACTCATATGGCAGAGCTCAGTTAAGGATAGCTGCACAGTGACTATTTGGGGAGCTTGTCCCATACTGTTTTTCTAGAGTCTCAAAGTATTAGTGGCAGATGGCTAGATAAAGCAGATTCTGTGGGTGTAGTGCAGTGATCTTTGGGATGAAGATGTGAATAGAGAAGGTCTTGGAATAGGACGGAAGACACAGCAGAGGCCAGAAAACTACCTGAAGTGAAAAGAAAGAAAAACTGGGAAAGATGCATTCCAAGTGAACAGTGACTGCTTTATATCAGGTAATGCCATTTAAACATATACA